AAGGAGGGGAGGTGGCAGGCAGAGAGAGAAGCAGACTCCCTGCTGAGGAAGGGACCAGATGTAGGATTCAATCAATGCTAGGACCTTGGGATCATGACCTGAGCTAAAGGCTGCCGGTTAATTGACTGAGTCACCCAGGCATCCCAAAACATAAAATCTTAAAAAAAAAACAAACAAAAAACCAAAACCCACTTCCACTTAAGACTATCTTTTATGAAGCAGTATAAATTATTAATTTTATGAACTTTCTCTTCTGAAGTATACATCTTTTAAGTGTCCTGCGTAATGAAATAGGAGGCGTACATAAAGGACTTCTGCTGCTTACTGACATATAACAGTTGTGTGACTGAGATGTGTGAGCTGAACTGGCTGCTTTTTTTCATAGAACACCATTTTCCCACCTAAGTACTAACCAGAGCTGACCCTGCTTAGTTTCTGAGATGAGGGTTGTTCAAGATGGTATATGGCTGTGGGCTTTAGAACACCATTTTTGTTTAAAAGAATGAGAGGGAAACTGTGGTTATTCAGACTTGAATGTTTGAATGGAATGAGCCTGACACTTCAAGGAAAAATGACTTAAAGGTATTTTGTCAATGATAAAATTTGATCTTTTTTTTTTTTTTAAAGATTCTTTTTTATTTGAGAGTGAGAGAGAGAGCCAGAGAGAACAAATGGGGGGTAGGGGCAGAGGAAGAAGAAGACTCCCCCACTGATCAGGGAGCCCATTTAGGGACCAGTCCGAGGGCCCTGAGATCATGATCTGAGCCAAAGTCAGACACTTAAATGACTGAGCCACCCAGGCGCCCAGGCCGCTAATCTTTAAGAAACTGGGGTGCCTGGGTGGCTCAGTCCTTACGCATCTGAGTCTTGATTTCTGGTTGTGAGATGGAGCCCCTCTTTGGGCTTCTGCTGGGTGTGGAGCCTGCTTGGGATTCCCTCTTTGCCTCTCTTAATTAAAAAAAAAAAGATATTACCATTTGTTGAGCCTTGCTAGTATAAAGTATTCACAATTATTGGATAAAAATACCCCTTCTCTTTTCTAACTATGTATCTGTGTGAAACCGGATTTTCTTCATTTCCTAGACCAAAATAACAGCAAACCAGAGAGAATGGGGAGGCAAATATAAGAATCCAGCTGTCTTCTATTGAGCCAGACATTAAAGAGATTTGCAAAATTGTAGTGCAGTGACACTCTACTAATTTTTGGGGGGAAGGTGTAGTTATATTTCATAAAATATGTTAAAATGTATTGGTTTTTTATTAATTTAGGTGAATTAATACATGCTTTTTAATTGCTCAATTTTAATTTCTAATTTGGTGACTATCCCACATAAACACTTTTTATTTGAGAGCGTGCGCGCTTACACACACACGAGCTGGGGGAGAGGTAAAGGGAGAAGGAGAAAGCAAATACCCCCTGAGCAGGGAGAACTCAACTTGGGGTTAGATCCCAGGGCCTGAGATCATGACCTGAGCCAAAGGTAGACACTTAACAGACTGAGTCACCCAGGTGCCCCTAAACAAACATTCTTAATGAATTTTTACGAATGTGGCAGTTCCTGGGTGCCTGGGTGGCTCAGTGGTTGGGCAACTGCCTTCCACTCGGGTCATGGTCCTGGAGTCCCGGGATCCAGTCCTGCATCGGGCTCCCAGCTCTACGTCCCTCTGACCTTCTCCCTTCTCATGCTCTCTCTCAAATAAATAAATAAAATCTTTTTTTTTTTTAAAGATTTTTTATTTATTTATCTGACAGAGAGAGATCACAAGCAGGCAGAGAGAGAGGAGGAAGCAGGCTACCTGCTGAGCAGAGAGCCCGATGCGGGGCTTGATCCCAGGACCCTGAGATCATGACCTGAGCCGAAGGCAGCGGCTTAACCCACTGAGCCACCCAGGCGCCCCATAAATAAATAAAATCTTTAAAAAATAATAATGTGGGAGCTCCTGATTGGTTGAGTCCTTAGGGCATGTGACTCTTGATCTTGGGGTAGTGAGTTTGAGCCCCAGGTTGGTCATATAATTAACTTAAAAAAGTGTAAAGGGTGGGGGCACCTGAGTGGGTTGAGCCTCTGCCTTTGGCTCAGGTCATGCTCTCAGGGTCCTGGGATCAAGCCCCACAACCGGCTCTCTGCTCAGCGGGGAAAGCCTGCTTCCCCCTCTCTGCCTGCCTCTCTGCCTGCCAACTTGTGATCTCTCTGTCAAATAAATAAATAAAATCTTTTTTAAAAATGTAAAGGAATCCTGAGACTAAAATGTTTGGAAACTCTGCTTTGAAATTCCCAGAGTATTGGGGCGCCTGGGTGGCTCAGTCCTCAAGCCTCTGCCTTCAGCTCAGGTCATGACCCCAGTGTTCTGGGATTGAGCCCCATATGGGGCTCCCTGCTCAGCGGGGAGCCTTCTCCCTCTCCAGCTCCCCTGTGCTTATGTTCCCTCTCTCAGTATCTCTCTGTCATAAAAACAAAAAAACAAAAAACACTCAAAAAACAAAAACCAAACCAATCAACCAAAGAAAACCTTGCGCAGTATTCTCCATTCTACAGATGAGAAGGCTAAGATTTACAAAGCTTTATGATCAGTTTAAAGCCCCACTGTCCAGTGTAGTGCTGGGTACTGCACTCAGGCGGCCCAACTCCAGACCTTGTATTTTGTGACCCTGACCTTTTCCTTGATGGTATCTTTGCAAATTTTTTTTTTTGCAAAAATTATTTTTTTTAAAGATTTTATTTATTTATTTGACAGAGAATACAAGTAGACAGAGAGGCAGGCAGAGAGAGAGAAAGGGAAGAAGGCTCTCTGCTGAGCAGAGAGCCCGGTGCGGGGCTCAATCCCAGGACCCTGAGATCATGATCTGAGCCGAAGGCAGAGGCTTTAACCCACTGAGCCACCCAGGCGCCCCCCAAAATTATCTTTTAACAGGTTGTTCAAAGACGTTTCGATAACATAAAAATCATCATATTCAACGTATTTTCTTTTCCCTAACTAGCTGCACGATCCTTCTTTGGACTTGCTTCCTCAGGTGAACGGGGTGCTGGCTGGGCCATCTCAGTTCGGTTTTCGCTGTGACAATCTGTGGTTTTACGAACGTGAGTTGGGACGCCTTCGATAACTCCGCGGGGGAACTGCAACCCACGGGGTTCAAATGGGGAAGCTCTCGGAACTCTGCGAAGCTCCAGGAACGTGGGCGTCTTCTTCCCCTACCCTCCTGCGCTCCGGACCGTCCTGGACCAGACAAATAGAGCACAGCCAGCCTCCTGACACTTCTTGGCAGCGGGGACCCTCCTTTGGACCTTTAATAACACTCCCTGGGCCTGGCTGGCTCTGACAACGATGGGCAGGCCAAGGCTCCGGATTGGCCGCCAGAGCCCATTCTTCGCTCCTCTCCCGCGTCCCAAGTGAGTGTCAGGGGATCCGGACTCCAGCCAGGGTCTGGGCGGGGCGGAGCGCAGCGCCTCCTGAGCAGGGATCGCCGCTGAGAGCTCGGGCCTGCAGGGGCGGGGCGTCCTGGACACCCGGGATTGGCGTGGCCGGGAGCCTTCTCCCGTCGTGCACCGGGGCCCCGGCCACTCACCCGGAAGGAGAAGCCGAGACTCTGGCTATATGGTGCGGCGCGGGCGGTGTCGCTCTGGGGCTTGTGTGCTGCTCTCAGGTGAGGGGTCGTGGGCGGAGCCGCGGGGAGTGGGTGCTGCTCTCCAGTAGGGCTTGAGGTCAGTAGTGGCGTTTGGGGCTGGAGATCTCGCTTGACATCTTAGGGACGAGGCTGTCTCACCTCCCGGGACGAAGGCGGGTGCTTGCTCTGGATCAAAGGAAGGAAACCCGGCTTTTTCATTTGTTTTTAAAGTATAAAGTATCTTTCCTTTCCACTGCCTAAGCTTAATAGTCAAAGGAGAAGGAGTGTCGTGGGGCCCTTTTCCCCCTCGTGCGTGAAGAATGGAGGTGGAGTGGCCGGTGTTCGGCACATGTACCGAAACAGCTCGGGCTAGGTCCAATGACAAGTATTTTATGGGACAGAGGCGGGCTCTGGCGCTAGACTGTAGTCGCCCTTGTGACTTACCTCGCAAGTGTAAGGAGTGGCAAGTTACAGACGGACGGAACGACGGAGCGGAGCTGCTTGGTTGGGAACATACAGAACTTGGTCAGAAAAGGAAGCATCCTGTGCCACCTGTGGGTGTTTAGGAAGGAGAGCTTTTTGAGTTGCCATGAAGCTCCAATGGCTCAAGAATGAGTAAAGAGAAATAGGAGTCTTGGTGGCTCAATTCATTTTTATCACCCTATTTTTTAGCCTTTTTAAGTAGTTTAAATGAAAGTGAAAATGGTGGTGCGAAAGCTATCTTTCGCTATCTTGAATTGTTAGGACATAGGAGAACTTTACAAGGAATCGACATTGTAAAAAGCAAACAGTTGGGCTCTTACCAGAGAGGTTGGTGGTGGTACAGGTGGAGAAAGTAAAGGAAACTTCAGATGTGATTGGAAGGACCCAGGAGTTGTAGTTAGTGCAGAGTGAGATGCATACGTAGCTGAGAGGATTGCTGACTTACCCTTATTTGAATGAGGGGGATCCATCTCCCAGATCAGGAGCTAACCTAAGGAACTTCCTTCTTCCCTTCCACGGGCGGAACTGAGCTTCATTTCCTTCTGGGGAGTGGCATTTATGTGGAGGAAGCTGATGGAGAATGGTAATTGCTAGAAATTATGACTTGGGAGTCTAGGTTTTTGAATTTGTTCCAGTGTCCAGTGTTTTTAAGGGAAAGTTACAATAGAAACTTTGTTAATGCCCTTTAAACTTACATTTAAGAATACAACATCTTGGGGGTGGTGCTAAGATTTTTTTTTTTTTTAAGATTTTATTTATTTGACAGAGAGAGATCACAAGTAGGCAGAGAGACGGGGAAGCAGGCTCCCTGCTGAGCAGAGAGCCTGACTCAGGGCGTGATCCCAGGACTCTGGGATCATGACCTGAGCTGAAGGTAGAGGCTTTAACCCACTGAGCCACCCAGGCGCCCCAAGATTATTTTTTTTTAAGCCAGTGTATTAAAGCCAGTTTATAGCTATTTGTTTCTCAGTGGTTTTAGCCCTAAAGGAAAGGAGAGAAACTTGCGCTTGGAGGTGGTTCAGAGCCCTAGACACTCTTCTTGAACCTGAGAATGACGGCCACTTAGTCACTAAATTATGGTCCTAAATTTGGCAAACCTTTCAAGGCATAGATGTGTGAGCCCCACTGAGTGTATGGATGTCTGTGATTTCCTTGTCATCTTTCCCTTCATTACTTTTAGGAAAAGATACGTCAGAATATCTAACTCTCTGCTCCCGTGCTGTCAGTTTACCAAAGACTGAAAAGAGAAGAGAAAAAAAAATTTTTTTTTAATCTGAGGAGGTTAATGGTTCACAAGTTGGCCTGTTCTTTTTGGTCACAGCCATTTGATGGCTTACATCGGGCATGTTACACATTGGTTGCTAAGGAATTGGAATTTTCTTTCAATTCAGGACCCCTTTGTGACGGTGCCTGCAGCAGATGAAAAATCAGATTGTCAGCAAAAGTACAAAGATGGTATCACAGTCACAGAACCTCTAGTTTGCTCAACGGTGTAGCCCAGTCCCGTCATCTACCAGGAGGTTTTGTCTCTGTGCAGGGCAGTGGCTGCGTGTGGAGGGATCTTCTGGTATACTGGAAGGAATTGGGAAAGCTCTTTGCTCTGCTAATTTCGTGGTGTAAATGAGTTCCCCTTCTCCTGAAACATTAGCCTTGTGTTAGCAAAACATAAAATAGAAGGGAACTCATTACACACTGTTCTAATTGTAAGGCAGAACTAATAAGAGAATGTGTTTAAAATTAATTGTAGGACTGTAAAAATGAGTGGGTGTGTGAATGGGCATGGGGGGAGGAGAGGGAGAGCTTCGAGATGGTCTTGTTTTCCCAGGAGCCAGCCTGGATCATTTGTTGGCAGTACATATTGGCTGAAGTCAGTTTTCATTTCAAGGTAAATTGGAAAGGGAAATTAAACCTTATTGTTCCGCTCTTAAGAGAGGAGAAGGGGGTGGAGGCGGCCGCCAGGGTGGATGCTGTTGGAGTGGTTCTAGGAGTAACAAGATTAGTGCTGTATTTTAACAGAAGGTGACATCATGGGCCCCTTTGGACTGGAGTAACCCTGCGCTGGAGGCTTCATGGTCCCCTTGTCGGAGTGGGCGATGTCGCTGCACATGTAAACGGTCACATTGGGGGAAATCAGGGGCTTAGGCTTTAATGAATCTTTACAAAGGAGCGGAAAACATCCCGAGCCGACCCGTGCAGCTGTGGGGTGCTTGGACAGAGGTGCAAACCGGATAGCATGTCGAGAGAGGAAATGATTGGAACCATGGGCTTGGGTTTGGGAGGACGGGTTAGATAAGGGAAGGTCGCAACCGGGCAACCCATTCAGGTGCTCCAGGAGCTCTCCAGCTCTACGATTTACCTCTGGGTAGGACTGTTTAGCAAGACAGAGACTTCAGGGCGGGGGTATTTGTGGGGCTTAGTTGTCTCTAAATCTCCAGAAGGGGGCGCTGTGAGGTACACTTGCAGAGGCGTATCGTAGGCCCCCAAAACAGCAGCTTTCACCTGCAGCCCTCAGGCAGAAAGGTTGGACAACCCAATTTGCCTGTTCCCCTTGCCTGAGGTGAGCGCTGCACAGACCTAAACATGCTTAGCTAGAGGTGGCCTGGTTGAGGGTCCCGGCTGTGGTCTGCGAGGGCAGGCAATTCCCCCGGGGCTTTTAGCTTAGCACTGGGCAAAGGCAAGGGGATTTTTTTTTTTGCTTCCTCTTAAGTTTTACACAAAAACCCCAAAAAAGGTGCTTGGGTTTTCCCCGGGGGAGGTGGGGGCGGGTCAATGAAAATTTTCTTGATAAAGAGTGATAAGAATAGAAGCATACTAACCATAATTTGTTCCCCTGTCCTTTCTCCCCCATCAGATGTTTTCTTCCAATGGGCTTTGGGTGTAGGATGTTGGAAAACCAAGAGCTGGAGGTAAGCATGTGGTCTCCAGGAAACAGGTGGGTAAAGTTTGATTGGATTTGGGGAAAGACACCATTCATTGCTCTATGGTACTCTAACGACAGTAATACCTTGGGGGTTCTGATGAGCTCAAAATGAAGGCAGGAGGTGGAAATCCACAGAAAAGCCATTCCTGGGAAATAAGGTTCTGTTTTGACTAACGTTTCCATTTGTTGGAATGCAGCTGAATGTGAGGTTCACTAGGGCAAGGATTTTTGTCTTTTGTTCGTGTTCTGCCCCCAGTGCTTCAGAACAGTGTCTGACATAGTGGGTGGTCAGAAAATACTTGTTGAGTTGAATGAATACATGAATGATGGTTGGTGCTGATTGGGAAAATCCGGCAGCCTATGTTGTCCAAGCTGGCTCACTGTGTGGGTGAGCTGAAGGAGCCTTTCTTACCTCTAGGAGGTGATTACTGTGCGTGTTCAGGACCCCCGCGTGCAGAATGAGGGCTCCTGGAATTCTTATGTGGATTATAAGATCTTTCTCCACGTAAGTGCTTCGGACTTCTGTATCGGGGTCAACCCCTTCTGGGGCTGAGGGCTGGTGCTGAGGCAGAACCCGTTGGTAGATGTTTTGACTGTCCTGAGCCTGAAGAAAAGGAGGGAGGAGAGGAATGAGCTTGGGGTCTGCCGGACACCTGCTCTCAGGCTGCCTGCTGGCCCGTAGTCCCTGCTCAGGATGGGACCTGGTGGGTTGGGTCCTCTGTGAATGTGACGATGAGGAGTAAATCTGGTCTTTTTCTACTTGGGTTTTTTTTTTCTTTTTCATGTACTTCCTCCTGTAGACCAACAGCAAGGCCTTCACTGCCAAAACGTCCTGTGTGCGTCGCCGCTACCGTGAGTTCGTGTGGCTGAGAAAGCAGCTCCAGAGAAATGCTGGTTTGGTGTGAGTTTGCTTTTGTTTCTTTCTCGGGTCTGAGATTGGCTTTTTGGAGGCATACACAAGAACCAGAGTTTACAATAAAGAAAACTTGGCAACATGTTAGGCACTTAGGAAATTGAGAATTGGGTTCTAAAATTATGTTTTCGAGTCAGTGGAAAAAGTAAAGACAGGGGCGCCTGGGTGGCTCAGTGGGTTAAAGCCTCTGCCTTTAGCTCAGATCATAATCCTAGGCTCCTGGGATTGAGCCCCACATCGGGATCTCTGCTCCGCGGGGAGCCTGCTTCCTCCTCTTTCTCTGCCTGCCTCTCTGCCTACTTGTGATCTCTCTCTGTCAGATAAATAAATAAAATCTTTTAAAAAAAGAAAAAAAGACAGAGTTCTAGTATTTTGACTGAACAAAGTCATAGAAATATAAAAAATACTTTTCCTTTTTTATATGCATTTTCATCTAGGGCTACACAAATGTACTGTTAGCATTTTATATATGCGTGTCACTCGTGATCAGAAACTCATTAGCACTTGGACTTATGTGACCGGTGGTGTTCCTGTCCATTTGACGTGTAATACAAAATGTTAATTTTTTTTTCTTTTTTGTGCAGAGACCTTTTCCCAAAGACATAACAGACTGAAAGTCTTACGAAAAGCAGTAATGTTCACTCCTCACTTAAACCACCCCAAATAAGTCCTAAACTGGAGACAGTGTAGAACAGTGATTCCATTGCAGGACAGTCACTGAATGCCCTGGGGATGGGGTCTGTGGGTGACCTAGCTGGTTAGTTAACATGTGGGACTGATGAGGCCACTGTCATGGGTCAGGCCCTCACAGCCAGTTGGAACTTCTGACAGATTCTGCATTCTCTTTTTTTGTTTGTTTTGCTTTGCTTTTTTAGAGAGAGTGTGAACTGGGGGAGAGGGGCAAAGGAGGAGAGAGAGAAAGAGAGAATCCCAAGCTCACCCTATGCCCAACACAGAGCCGGATGTAGGGCTTGATCTCACAACCCTGAGACCATGACCCCCGATGAAATCAAGAGCGGGATACCTAACAGACTGACCCACCTGGGCACCCCTGGCCTGTTGTTTTTTTAAAAATATGTTCATAATAGAAGCTAGGGAGATTGAAAGAGTTTGTGGATGCCTTGCTGCAACTCAGCTACTTTTAGAAAATTCAGAGCATGTGAGAGGCACCTGGGTGGCTCAGTGGGTTAAGCATCTGACTCTTGATTTCCTCTCAGGTCCTGATCTCAGGGTTGTGAGATCGAGCCCTGCGTTGGCTCAGTGCAGAGTGTGCTTGAGATGCTTTCTCCCTCTCCCTCTGTCCCTCCCCCTGCTCTTTTTAATTTTTTTTATTTTCTATTTTTATTTTTTTGCCCTGCTTTTTTAAAATATATAAATAAAATCTTTTTTTTTTAAGGTTTTATTTATTTATTTGACAGAGAGATCACAAGTAGGCAGAGAGGCAGGCTGAGAGAGAGGGGGAAGCAGACTCCCCGCTGAGCAGAGAGCCTGATTCAGGGCTCGATCCCAGAACACTGAGATCACGACCTGAGCCAAAGGCAGAGGCTTAACCCACTGAGCCACCCAGGTGCCCCAAATAAAATCTTTTTAAAAAAATTCTAAGTATGTGGCCCTCTTGGATTGGAGGAGGTCTTGATTTATACACAAGGACCCCACGTGCTCCATGCTGCCATGTTTCTCCATTTCAAATAAGTTTCTCCATTTTCAAAATAAGGGCTGATGGGGCTCCTGGGTGGCTCATTCGGTCAAGTGTCTGCCTTCAGCTGAGGTCATGATCTAAGGGTCTTGGGATCGAACCCCATATCAGGCTCCCTGCTCAGCAGGGTTTCTGCTTCTCCCTCTCCACTGCCCAGCCTGGCTCCTCCATCCCCCCACTCATACTCTCTCTCTCAAATAAATAAATTTAAAAATAAGAGCTCGGGGTGCCTGGGTGGCTCAGTGGGTTAAGCCTCTGCCTTCAGCTTGGGTCGTGATCTCAGGGTCCCGGGATGGAGCCCCGCATTGGGCTCTCTGCTCAGTAGGGAGCCTGCTTCCCCCTCTCTCTCTGCCTGCCTCTCTGCCTACTTGTGATTTCTGTCTGTCAAATAAATAAATAAAATCTTAAAAAAAAAAAAAAAAGAGCTGATGGTGGGAGTGGGTTTTGTAAACAATGTAGTTTAGCAGCAGTGGCATTTTGAAGTCATAGACGTGGTTCAGGTACCAGCTCTGCTGGTTACTAGTTGTGTGACATTGGGAAATTTACTTAACTTCTCTGATTCTACCTCCTTACTCCTGAAATGGGGACATCAATAGGTTTTTCATAGGGTTTTTGGGAGGAGTAAATGAAATAAGGTTTGTAAAACATTTAGCACGGTGCCTAACACATGGCATGCAGTCAGTATTAGCCCTGCCCCCCGCCCCCACTTTTTAAAAACCTATTTGTTTTGATTTGTGCCTCTTCCTTGCTCAGTGGGCAGAATGTTAAATGTTAACATTTATCTTGGGTGTTACATTATGTGATCCACAGGCCTGTACCTGAACTTCCTGGGAAGTCAACCTTCTTTGGCAGCTCTGATGAGTTCATTGAGAAGCGGCGACAAGGTCTGCAGCACTTTCTGGAAAAGTGAGTAGACGGAGTGGGCTAGTACCTGCCTCCTGAGTGCGGGAGGGGAGAGGGGAAGGTATCGGGCAGGATGGCCCCTTCAAATAGGTAGGCCTTTCCTGCACCCCCATCCATGCCTTCAGTGCTCGCTCAAGCCGGAAGCCCTTCAGGGGGAGGGGAGCTGAGGACAGCAGCTGCTCAGCGTGAGTCTGTGCCGTACCTCCTGTGTTTGCCCCAGGGTCCTGCAGAGTGTGGTCCTTCTCTCAGACAGCCAGTTACACCTCTTCCTACAAAGCCAGCTCTCGGTGCCCGAGATAGAAGCCTGCGTCCAGGGCCGAAGCCCCATGACCGTGTCTGACGCCATTCTCCACTACGCTATGTCCAACTGTGGCTGGGTCCAGGAAGAGAGGCAGGGCTCCTCTCACCTGGCTAAAGGAGACCAGCCAAAGAGGTAACGAGAGCTCTCTTTTTTTTTGAGGCACTGGGAGCTAGGATTACTGTTACCTGGGCCAGTGAGGTGTCCGCTTGATAGAGGAAGTACCGTCACAGCGTTTCAGGCTCTCAGAAGAGGCCTCGTCCTCCCTGCGTGTGGTTCTCTCCTCTCACATGGCAGGGCCTGAGCGTCTGGGTTAGCCCATCCCTGGGTAGCGGGCTCTACTGTTGAATCCTGGGGGGAAGAAGAGAGGTCTCGCTTATTCTTTATTCCTCTCCCCTCCCTATTTCAAAGTAACAGCTTTATTGAGATGTAATTTACGCACCATAAAATTCACCCTTGGAATGTATCATTCAGTAGTTCTTAACTTAGCACCCCAATTTTTATCACCCCAAAAGAAACCTCGTACCTGTCAGCAGTGACACGCTGTTTTCCCCACCTCCTAACCCCAGTGACCACTAATCCACTTTCTATGTCTGCGGATTTGCCTGTTCTGGACACTTCACACAAGCGGAGTCCTGTGTGTGGTGGTTCCTGACGAGCTTCTTTCCCTCAGCGTGTTTTCAGGGTCCACCCATACTGTCGTGCCTATCAGCACTTCCTTCCTTTTTACGGCCAAATAATACTCCATCTCCGTGGTTGTACCACCTTGGCTGTTTGTTCACGAGGCTTATCCACTGATTTTTGTGTATCTGTTCATGCCCTCGTTCCTTTCCCATTCTTTTCCAGTTGCTGCTTTCTTCCAAGATCCGGCAGGAGGAGCTCTCCCTCACCACCTCCCAGGGAGGAAAAGGACCATTTCGAGGTGTGGGCTCCCGTTGTTGACTCTGAAGCTCCTTCCTTGGAAAGCCCCCCTCTCCTTCCCTCCCCCTCGCCATCATGCTGTGATTTTGCAAGACCTGTCGAGGACGCCTCTGCTCCTCAGCCTGTGAGGAGGGCCGTGGGAGGGGACTGTGCCGTGCCTTTGGACCCTGGGCAGTTAGAAACGGTTTTAGGAAAATGAGCTCTGGTCCGAGCGCTGGGTTCTGCCCGGAGGCGGCAGAGAAGATGCCGGCAAGGAGGCTTGCTGGGGTGGGAAAGGGGCACAGGGTAGGTGTTGGGGAGTCTGGGCCACTTACTGTCTTATGGTCACCTCTGCTCAGGTTGGTGGCATAGAGGTCGGTCACCACAACTCCTCAAGCTTCCTCCGTGGGATTAAACACTGGACGGTTTTAAGTTAGGCATAAGGCCCACCATGGGCTGTTGGTTTTACACAGAAATACGTGGTGTGTTTACTCTCCTGGGAGCTGAATTGCTTTAGATGTTTGTTAATGGGCGCGGGAGCATTGCCTCAGGTTGACTGGTTTGGGGGGACCTGGAAGTGACCGCTTTTAAGCTGTCCTGTTGAATACTGACCGGATGGAAATGGTTGTGTAATCGTATTCCCACTGGCGGGCTTCTTGCTGCGGCCCTTAGAGCACTTTGTTTCCGGGAGGCTGGCCTCTTGCCTCCCTCCTTTCGTGGCCAGGGTGGTGAGTGTTTGTTCTCCCACCTCCTTGCTTCTCCTTCTTGAACACCACTGAACCCACCGGTGCTGTGACTCCCGTGGCTGGGGGTTCCCGCCTCTCCCCAGCCCTCAGTCTGGCTGTGAGGGGCCCTAGACCCATGACCTCACTCACGGCCGGCCCTGGAAGAGACCCCAGGAAGCCAGAGGAAAGGCAACAGTTTCAGGGGCTTTGTTTTAGAAAAGGCTGTCTCGGGCTGTCACCTTCTCCTCTGGCTGTAAAGCCCAGATGTGACAATCTTTTCTGCAGGGCTGGCATGGGCTCCTTTCTTTTTTGAATCCTTCTCTTCTCCCTTAGTAACAGCCCCCTGCCCCCAGGGCTTCAGCTCCCACAGTGTCCCTCTGCTGTGTGGCAGGGAGGCCGTCTGTTCAGTCCAATGGGGCGCAAGGGCTTTGTTTGTGCCTGGAGAGAGGGCTCTGGGGATGGAGATGAGGAACGACGCGCCTTCAGACAATGAGGCATTCTGCCCTCCCGCTGCCATAATTCCTCTCCACGCAGAGCCCGAGCGGGTAGGAGAGGAGCGCCGGCGGCGCCCTGCCTGCTCAGCGCTCCCCTCTCGCGAACCCCCCCCTCCGGCCGCCCCCCCCCCCCCCCCCCGCTTTCCCCCTTCCCCCGGCGGTGGGCTCTTCCCCTCCCGGCCTCTGCTGGGGTGAGGGGGCTGCCAGGGTGTTGCGATCGGAGTCGAGGGGCTTTGGCCTGAAATAAAATCCAAGTATTTAAGACTGTTGCCATTTGTGTCTAACAAGCTGTAGCCGAGGAGGAGGGAGCGAGGGCTGGCAGGAGTTACTTTCATAAATCATGAGTTTATCAGCGTGGAAAGAATGGCCCGGGCGCTGCGGCTCTCCCGCGTGGGGCGAGCGGCCCGGTCCGGCCCCGGAGGAGGGGCCGCCTTCCGCAGCGCCGGGATCCGGCTTTTCCTCCCCGTCGCGGGCACGAGCCTCGTTAGGTATAATTTACCTGCTGCAGCCCGGGTGAGGTGCCAGGTGCTGGGAGAGAAATAAAGTTTGTCAACAGGCAGATGCGGAGCCCCGGCGGGGGCTCCTCCCTCTTTCCTGCCCGCCTCCCCTGGGCCTCTCCTTTAGATGATGCCGCCGAGCAAGGCGAGGAGAGAAAACCTACAGAGGCAAATCCAAAATGTCAAAAGAAGTTCATTTAAAAGGGAGGGGAAAAAAAAAACAACTCTCCATCCACAACCCTCACAAAAACCCCGACAGATGCTAAGCTAATGGCATCCGCTCTGCCTATTGGTGGGGATGACTCATGAATATTAATGAGTCCAATGCTCCAAATGTTGCAGCTGTGAACCCAGCTGTGCCTGAAGCTCTCTGATCTCAGAAACTTCCAGACAGGAGCCGGAGGTGGTCTGTGTCAATTCCCTACTCAGCCAAAAAACAGCAAGCCGGGTTGGCCTTCTTCTGTTCTCTCCTTTTCTTCCTGGAGTTGGTGCTCAGCAGCTCGTTCTGCCAGCAGGGTAGGCTGCTGGGACAGCAGGAGCCATTCAAAGACACGGATGCGATTTTTCTGACTCCCGGCTTTTTTAATGATCCATTACCAGCAGTGCATACAACAGCAGCTCAGTTAATCTAAGGCCAGGCGCCGTCCTCTCACCGTCCTGTGCTCAGCTGAGAGCGTGCGCGGTGGGAGGAGATGTCCTAAGAAGGGAAGAGTTTTCCTGACATGGGCCTGGAGTTACCAGGGAAGAGAGCAAAGCTGAATTTTCCTCCCCATCCAGGCGGTGCCATTTGCCTCTCGCGTTTTGCTGTGTCCCTGTGTGCTCAAAGGGCTGGCCGCCATGGCCACTGACTTCTGTAGGGAAGATGGGGAGCTCCTGGGGACAGTGGCTGGCTGAGCTGCACTCGGCTTTTGTAGCACAGAAGTATTTTTGTGTTAGGGTTTAGGTTCCAGGTGGATTCTGTGCCTGATTTAGTCACCACCTGACCGCCACTTCTGTGGCCCAAGTCTGGTTGTCTCTTGTTACCCAAGAGAAGTGATCCCATGCTCAGGGGTCTCACGTTGTTTGGTGGAAGCGGGTGTGTGTGTGTGTGTGGGGGGTCTTGTTTAAAGATAAGTCTCCTCTATTTGCTTCACTTGACCTCAGTGGCCAGTGAAGAGGCCAAGTCAAGTAGTAGACTCCTTTTCTAGCTGAGGAAATGAAGCTGAGCTGAGGGTAGTTTTTTAAAAACCACGTTTTTATTCATTTAAAATGGATGTTCTTGTTTATTTCTCAAGTAAACTCTACCCCTGACATGGAACTCGAGCTCACAACCCCAAGATCAAGAGTCATGTGCTCCGTGGCCTGAGCCGGCCAGGCGACGCTACGAAGCACGTTTTTAGATGCTGGGAGAGCACATTCATGGAAGTCACTTCCCCACTCTGTTAGATGAGGTTTTTGCTTGTTTCCTCCCCAGATTTTTTTATTTTTCTTTTTCTTTTTTTAAGATTTTATTTATTTATTTGACAGAGAGATCACAAGTAGACAGAGAGGCAGGCAGAGAAGTGGGGGAAGCAGGCTCCCCACTGAGCAGAGAGCCCGATGCGGGGCTTGATCCCAGGACCCTGAGATCATGACCTGAGCTGAAGGCAGAGGCTTCAACCCACGGAGCCACCCAGGCGCCCCTCTTCCCCAGATTTTTTTTTTTTAAAACCAGAATAAACCCACTACTGAAGTCCACTCGAGTAGCTCTTCAGAGTGGTTCTCAGAAATCTGAGCTCCTCGGCAGTCCTGTGTTCTGACGGGTCCCGCCTTAGATACCACATCTGAGACCCCGCTCTGGCTGCTGGGTCTGGGAGGCCATCATGACTCTTTGACAACCTGATTAGACTTGAAGTTCATGAATTTGTTCCCACGCCTCAGCTCTCGCTGGCTATTCCCACCTGAGGCGTGGGGAGGACAGCGTGCCAGGAGGATGAGGAGTGGGGTTAAGGGTAGAGACGGAAACAGCAGCACCTGGCCTGCCTCACGGGGGCCACAGGAACATTCTCTCAGAGACTGGAGCGGCAGCTGCGGGTTGATGTGGGAGCAGCCCACGGAGACGCAGCCAAAGCCAAGCCTATCCGGGCGTGGAGTGGGATGGTGACTTCCTCAGTCACGCCTGGGCACAGATCCTAAGCCAAGCTTCCCAGCAGCCCTCTGCCTGCAGGGACTCAGCTCTGTAGAGGGCATCACCTGGCTCAAAGCAAACTTTCTTTGAATTGTGGAGAAGCATCCCCCTTCCCATCCTCCTTACCACGATCCCTTCTTTCCTGAGGGTTTCCTCAGCCCACCTCGGGAGCCCCCCTCCCAACTCACCTTTTCTCATATCCTCTCTGCCAACAACTCACCTATTCTCATTTGCCCCCTCCCCACGCCAACTCACCTTTTCTCATTTCCTCACGCCACACCCCCCGCCCTCAACTACTCACCTCTTCTCATTTACTCCCGGCTCTCCAGAGCTCCTTCAGGAGCTTCTGTAAAGACCAAATATGCATTTGACTTCCCAACAGGGTGGCACGAGCCAGTCCTAGCATGTTATTAGAGAAAAAACTTCTTGGCAAGAACCAGTTGCACCTTAGAAATGGCTAGATCTGGAGTTAAAAGCTGGAACCTCAAATCTCAAGATACAGTAAACATGGACAGTTTATGCACAAAGGCCACACTTTTTAGGAGACAGAATGCTCCCGAGTCAATGAGCAAGGTGAGTGATTTTCCATCCCTTCCATTCAGGGGAGGCCTGGTCCACTTCCACCAGCACAGGAGGAGGCAAATGAAGGGGGACTTACTCAGCAGGGAAAGGGGCAGGAATAATACGAAGGGAGGGATGGGAAAGCCGGAGTGTGAGAATTCAGAGACTGTCTGAAAGTCTTTAAGGGTTTTTTTAATCCCCCCCATGGAAGGCAGAAACATGAGATGCTCCTGCAATCTTTGGATTATGGGAAGCCCCCAGCCAAAATTCCGTATCTGCGGCTGTATGTCCCTCCTTCCAACCTTCAGCCAAGCACCTCTTCCTTCATACCATCCATTCTGAAGGGGCCAGCTAGTTTAGATCTTTCCATAAGTGCCCCAGCCCTGCGTATGTGCTTCCCCGGGTGGCTACGTTGGTGTGGGAAGCCAGGCTTACCAGCAGCTTGACCCAGGTCCCTTGAGCAGAAGGCCCAGAATAGTGAGAGCCCGAGGCGGTTTGTTGGAGGCAATGCAACCTGCCTGCTATAATCTACTAGACTTAGATATATTCTACCAATTAGGGCACATCTGTTCCAAGCGCTGGAAGGCGGGCGCTGTCTCTTTAAGAGCCAGCCCACTCCTCTCCTTGAGTGATGAGGGCTGGGAGCACAAGGGAGTCAGATGCTGATTAAACAGTCCTACTGCCCAGCTCTGTTAGAAAATTACTGTAATTATGATCTAGTCCCAGCAGAGGGATGAGTTCCAATCCTGCTAATAACCCTTCCAGGTGCCTCGGATTCGGGGCCCATGGGAGGCAGCATCGTCAGGGCTCTGGCTGGCACCAGGGCCACCAATGGCCTTGCTGTCTGGCCCGTGCAGGCAAAACCAACAAAGGCAATGGACCCCTCGTCCTCTCTTGGCCTCCCGAGAAGGCAGTGGGTTTTGGCTGGGTTTTACTTCTTTGGTTCTTGATAAAGCTCCTAGGAGTTACTTTGTATAAGAAAACTTCCCCTTCAAAACTAACGTGGAGGAGCAGGAAGGTTAATGGCCGCAGTCACTGGGAGGTGACATCTGTCCTGAGCCTCCCCACTTCTGTCTGAGGGCTGCAGTCAGCCCAGCACCGGCTGCCCTCTCCGTGGGGCGACACCCCTGGTCTCCTGCTCTGAAGCAGAACACGGCATTTCACTAGGTCCTGATAAGAGTTTCAGGGCTCCCCTTTTAGATTTCTGCCACGGAAAAGGGAAACAAGGAGTGTAACCACAGAGCTCTAGATGTGAGGGACTTGGTGGCCTGCAGCTCTCTAACGTGGCAATTCCAGGCTTACTCATTCGAAAATACCAAAAATACCGTTTTTGTGGTGCAAATCTGCGCCTGTGCAGGTCCTCAAATCTCTGCAGGGGCCTGTGGCGCCTGGGCTTGGTTTGCAGAGTGTTAAACCCTGAGGAATCCATGGCATTTCTACTCTGGGTCTTCCCAGCCCAGCAGTATGCCTCTCTCCAGTGCTATAATCCAGTGACTAAAAACACAAACTTTTAGAAGGTAGGGCAGTTTCTCCATGCTTGGTCCTAAGCACACAAATGACCCCCAGAGACAGGGGGTGACTTTGTTCCCAGGGGACACTTGGCAATTCCTGGAGACAGCTTTGGTGGTCAGCACAGGGCAGTGGTGGGGTGGGGTGGGTACTACCGGCATCTAGTAGGTAGAGAACAGGGGTGCTGCTGAACATCCCGAGATGTCCCCAACAACATAAAGTTATCTGGCCCCAAATGCCAGGCCCCAGGAGTGCCAGGTTGAGGGAGTTGGCACTAACAGGTGACATAATAAGCTCCAAGTTCTGCCCCGCCCCCACTGCCGCCCCCTCCCACCTTCCCCTGCACTGCCTTCAAGATGATCTACAGTCTCCAGATGCCAGGCATTTGCCCCGAGGTGGGCTGTGCCA